ACTGAGCCACCCAGGTGCCCCTCAATAAATGTTTTTAAGTAAATTTATTAGTGGGCACCTGGGTGGCTCAGTCGCTGAAATGTCCAACTTCAGCTCAGGTCATGATCTCACGGTCTGTCTGTTTGAACCCCGCATCGGGCTTTGTGCTGACAGCTCAGAGCCTGAAGCCTGCTTGGGGTTCTGTGTCTCCCTCTCTCTCTCTGCCCTTCCCCTGCTTGCGTGCTCTCTCTCTCAAAAATAAACATTAAAAAAAAATTTAATAAATAAATGAATATTAAACAATAATTTATTAAACAATTTGAATGTAATAAGGTTTCATAGTGCCATATCTTATGTTTTATTGACCTTATTTTTTCAACTGTAATTTCTAACACTTGATAATGGGGCCAATCTCTATTATACCTAAAATGCTAGTACTTCTTCAGGCAGTTAGCACTTTGCATGAGAAAATCAATCAATGTCAAGGCTACAGGTGCAAGATTTGAGAAGTATAGGTTTTAACTAGAGTCCAGTAACTACCAGGAAGTCACGTGAGAATCACACTGACCAGGGGAGGTAAGAAAGACAGATAGCTCTCAAGTATATTTGCCTTTTAAAAGAGAGTGCTTGTTAGCCCCAAATGACTAAATCCTTAACAATAGAATTTCAAGTAGTAGTTAAAATGAAACAAAGACTCTCACACCCATTAGGAGATGACTACTATCAAAGAAACAGTAAAAGACAAGTAATGTGGGGATGTGGACAAATTGGAGCCTTTGTGCACTGTTGGAGGGAATGTGAAGTAGTACAGGCGCTGTGGAAAAGTTTGGCAGTTCCTCAAAAAATTAAAACCATATGATCCAGGAATTCCACTTCTGGAATTGAAGAAGGGTTAAACAAGCCAAAAACGGATCCAAAATGGAGTCACTTGTGCTAAGCGCGTGTCAACAAACCAAGACTTAAAATCTAACCTAATTTCTGTTTCAGCCCCTCCCAGGAATGTACTCTTAACTAGTGAGGTAACCTTGTGGGCACCAGTGAGGCAATCTGCCTGAAAGACCCTTCCGTCTCCCAAAGAAAGATAGGTAATCTAATTTTTCCTCATCCCTGCCAACCTTCTGTCTATAAAAGCTTTCCATTTGGGGTCACCTGGCTGGCTCAGTCAGTAGAACATATGACTCTTGATCTCAGGATTGTGAGTTGGAGCCCCGTGTTGGGCGTAG